CTAACCGGCAGGGCATGGGATCGAATTCCGGCTTGGAGGCTTCATTTTCGATGGAGGCGAAAAGGCTGTAGGCAAGTGTGCTCGAATTGGCGTGCACGTTGAAGAACCCAGGGTGATATATATTTCCGGAGTCCTCCACGACAGCGCCTCTGAAAATCAATGGTTTTGGGACGTCTAACGCCACATATCAATAAATTTTCTACAAATCAGCGCAAAGCAAGTAACTAAGTTTTGGTATTTCTTCCATAAATAAAGAATTCCACATAGCCCGTGTGGAAAGGCAGTACTATTGGTTCATGTATGGCGCCGTCTTCTAGAACATCTTGCTGACAATTGTAGGTCGGAAAAAATTTTCAATTGTTCTCAGATTGTTCTGTCTGAAAAATTTATCCGTTCATTAACGATATTACCACTTCTTTAGATTGTGAGCCTGCTTATTTCGAAGCTTCTGCTAGACATGTGTTGGAAATGTTTAGTTCATGCGCGTAGCAACTGGACTGGCCTTGCAAATATCTTTATGGCAATTCAATTTTGTTTCTTCACCTATGCATACAAAGGAATGTGAAAGGCCTGTGTTCGCAGAATGAACCAGCGTTCAAATACATATCCTGTTCTACTACTGTACGCATTTGATGTTGGTGAATAGAAAAATGACGAAAATTGTGCATGTCCAATGTGCTTAAGAAGTAATGTAGTCATAGCAAAAATATTATTTTAAAACTTAAGGAATGGTGTGAAGAATGAATAAGACTGGTCATCTACACATCGTTGATGTGTCCATAGCTCTAAAGATATCGAAAGAGATTAAGTCCAGCAAAGCTACTTCACACACGTAAAAAACCCCATAAAGTGTCTTAAAGCACATCTGCTTGAAACGCACCTAGTAACCTGTCCAAGATGTGTAGTAAGGTAAACAACCACACATATGTCAGCGCTCAATAAAAAAAAAGAGATTTAAGTCACCGTTAAGTGTGTTGCAATTGTTGTTTACAGAATGCCTTTCACGTGTGGTAAAGATTGCGTGGACCATACTGGTCGCTGTTTGAATGAGATGCTTCGCCAACGCTGGTACAACGAAACAAGAGCCATCAGCAGCCATCTTGAAATTCACGGCAAACCGTGGGGCTGCAGTCCGGAATTCAGTAAATGTGACGTCTTAGCTGCTGACTGGAACCAACTGACGATTGAAATAAACGATACCCACAGGATTGCAGGGTCCCAAGATAGATGCATGTGTGATGAATCCTTCATTTTCTTATCCGACAAAGAAATTGTGGATCTTTCTACTGGCAAATCACGTTAGCTACTGCTATCAAGCACTTAACTGATCTTTGCATCGGTGTCCATATATCTTCCCCTTCGTTTTTCTTTCCTGTTCATCATATTGACAATGACTTCAGTTGGCAGTCCGCTCTATGTGTTGATGCATGCGAGTTTTTACTGTCCTTGTCCTTCAGTTGTTTCGCCTACCTGCTCGAAGAGGAAGCCTGTCGTCAGAGTGTAGCCTCGGGTAAAAGAGAGCGCGGTTCCTATAAAACGAACTTCAGCTCCGAGAATGTTCTCTGTATACGTTGGCACGCGTGACAGTCTCACAGAAAACCACTTGCGTTAATATAAAGATCTCTGTTTGCCAATTTTCTTGTTTTAACGCAGTTTCAGACCATCTTTTCTTCAGAATTCCTGCGTGAAATACGTCCTTGTACTCTCTGCTCAGATATACGTTACTGCTCACGTTGCTTGACCTTGGATGTTGTGGATAGCTATGATCTTACGTGAACCGCAATACAATTGAAAGACATTGCTTTGACTCCAGAACGAAGTATCATATACGAAGTTTCGGTTAAGTTTTCGTTAGGTAAACTTCTTTTTCGTTTTCTGTGAGTTCTGACACACTGGCCACAGGCGCCACAAGGGATTGACACTGTTTCTACCTATGTATGGCGAGAACAGGCATTGCAAACATCAACTCTAGAACACTAAACGCTGACATCGGCAGCGTTGACCCGCCGAATGCAAAGAATAAATAAATATCAGGACCCCAGCTGTAGCCGAACCAAAGCATTCTGCATGAAAATGAAATATTCTAGAACGTTGATATACCAGGTCTGGACACACTCTGCAAAAATACACTATTGATGCGTAATTGATGTTGATTAAACCTCAATTGTGTGCAGTGCAGGTTGTACAATTTTATAAGCAATACTTACGTACTCCCATGATTCAGCAGTCACGTAAGGATAACGTCTTTAAAGTTAAGCGCCATACACAGACTTTGGAATCAACCAGGAGGTGCAAGCATTGCATATCCTAGAGATGATAGGTAACGTTACATTCCTCCTTGAGAACATAAACGTTGCATATAAGCTTGCCGCTTCACGTGTTGCTAATACTCATGATGCTGTGGGCATCGTTACGCAAGAGTTAAAAAAAGGTTGTCTAAGACATATAAGCACAGGTGAGAATGCTAAATAATGAATAATGTTTTGTTTATACAGTCACAAAGAAAATTAGGGAACCCTAAAACTTCGCCATTACGAGTTTAACGCGTTAGCGACATTCTTTTTATATTGCGTACTTTAAACACTTAAGATAATAGGTGCAGTGGTAAGTGCCTTTTGTAGTGGGATACCAGCTTTAAACCACGGAGCCATCATCATAATCAAATACTCTGACGCCCGTCGGACTATGGACGCTTGTACCACGCATTGTTATTGCAATATTTCGTGTTGCATTGTGAAGCATGTATCCAGGACGCGTGGGTTTGTGAAGCATGAAAGGTACTTTCACTGCATTTCCAAGCAGCACCGTTTCCACAAGCACTTTTTTTTTTAGACGTGGCCGTCTATAAAGGAAAAAAAAAAACAGGCGTGTCCATGTAGTAGAACATCCGCTTGCCACGCAGACGACCCCGGTTCGATCCCCGCTTAGCCGCAGAATTTTGTCTTTATTTTATTTGCATGGTTCTTGATTTTTCGGTCACTCATAAGATGACGATTTTTGTGCTCTAAACCGAAAACACCGACGCCGGATTTTCTGGAAACGAGCTCCTAACGCTATCGCGTTAAAAGTGGCACGGTCAAGGCGCCTCTTTCACAACCACGAGCACCAAAAGAAAGTAACTGAGACAAAGAAGCAACAAGAGCTTTCACGATTTTAGTAACACATTTATTAAATTTTGCAGAATTTCATAACACAGCAACTAAACTGTTAAGCGAAGGCGAACATGTTCGCACAGAGCAGGAAGTATAGCATACACAGTTGCACATACAACATCCACATATATGTATACAATGAAAAAGCGTACAAAGTTTATGCATCGACTTGCAGCTCAGCACAAGTAACGGAACATTGCGTTTTCACATTAAGTATTTGACAGACCCTGAGAGCGGGATACTGTTGCTTCCGCATAGCAAAGCCAGACGTGCCAGGGTCCAGAATGGCACCACAAGTGCACGCACTTTTCGATCTCCGTTAAAGCCAGTTGACGTACAAATACAAGGCCAGAGCCGAGTTTTTACAGAAAACACAAGAAACACATAAATATTTCATGCTGTTACAGGCCGTATACATAAGGGCACACCTGAAGGCGTACCCGACAAATTTTCTCAGTGAAACAGTGCTACGGTATAAAACCTTGCATTAGCGGATGTTCCTAAAGCCCAAATATCTCTTTATAACCACCATTGCTTGCTGCTACTCAGCAGTCATGGTTTTAAATGAAATTCTTCTTAGAACGAGTGAGCTGCAGCGCCTAAATGTCCTTCCACCTCCCGGTTGGTAATCTTATTTTTCTGTATGGTGTCATAGCTCGTTGACCTGCACACAAATAAGTCGAAATGCACCGGCAAGTTGTAGAGCTCAAGGTCCGAGTTGGTATTTCATGCAGTAATTTCGAATAACTAGAATCTTCTCGTCGCTTTAGTTGGCAGCGGCCGTCGTGGTGATGCAGTGCCATCTTGTTTTGACTTCGACAATCTTGGTTTGAAGCCGGCAGAGGATATCCTCAGCTAGGTGGCCGGTATATAGTTGTACATTGAAGTTGGCTATACTGAAGCATTCGCGCGTAATTTGTGTAGCCAGCACTTTTGTGACAATGGTACCAGAAATGCTATAGGCTTCGACTTATTAGTCTGAAGCTGAGCTTAGTGTAAGGTACAGTTGAAAATTGAAGAAAGTGTACTTAAAATATGTTATAGAGTGGCACCGGGTGCCACACAACGGGTAAAACACATTTTAGCTCAATAATGGCTATACAACGCGATGACTACAATTGCGTCTGGTATACCCGCATATTGCATTCAAACGATCTATCACGTACATACTTCAAATGCACCATTGCAGTACACTGTCGGAAATAGTTCTACAATGATACAGTAGACTTCCTCATTGGTTGGGGACTCATAGCTGGTGCCCCAGCATGAATACCACTAGTAATTCATCCTCTACGTTTCGTAATAGCGTTGTAGCTTCAAGAAGAACCAACTGCCATATAGTTTAGTGGTTACAGTGTTGACCCGAAGGACGCCGGAGAGCAGCCCGGCCTCAGGGGCTCTGCTTTTGACGCACACGAAAATGCTTCAGGCCCGTGTATGCAGAACAAGAGATGGTTTAAATTCATGAGGCCCGCCATTGCGGCATGATTCACAATCATATCATGGTTTTGGGATGTTAAACTCCTACAGGTACAATTCTATACAAAGCATGCCACTTCCCAAAGTGAGGCCCTAGAACAAAACACAACATCATAGGTTCGATTCATCACTAGCCTTAAGGGGCAAAACTGAAGGCAAGCCAGTAGGTGAACTTAGATTTAGATGCACGTTAAATAACCCCGATGGGCTCGCATGTCAACTATACATATAGGTTTAACAGCACGCCAAAAATATTAACAAAGTCTCATTAAATGCGGTACATTCTCCTGGTGTTCTGGCGGACAGCAACCAGGACTTCCTCCAGTGGGATGCCTCGCATCGCCGAAACCTGCGTGGCCACGTGTATGGCTATCCCTGGATGGGACTCTTCAGACGGTTAGACTCCTGCGAGTTATGAATGAAGGCACATAAGCAACTCGTCCCACTTCCTGCAGCTATTTGCCTATAGGGAGCAGCGTTGTGCCACAATTGCAATGTTATTCATTCGTAAGCGATACATATTCCCTGACCAAGTTTCATGACGTCACCTTTTTCAGGTGAATGAAGTGAAGAAATTGTAAAAATTACTGTTCAGCAATATTTAATGGATAGATTTAGCAGGGGTGGATGTGCTACACCAATCTGCGTCAATCTGACCTGCTGTGCCAAGCTGCGCCTAAACGGAAATTTGCGCGTGTGACGCCAAATTTAGTGGAGTTTTATCATTGACCGAGCAACATGAATGGTCTATGCATAAAGGACACAGCCGCGTCCATATCGGATTCGCTTCCGTCATACCGTATATTGGTTCATCCACGATTCTTGATTCACGGGAACGAAATGCATAGATCTTGTTAAAGCTGCGTTTGTGTGCATACCTCATTATGCGAATCTATACACAGCAAAGCAGATAGTAAAAGTCGCGGTGTAAGAAAAATATTTAGGTGTGGACACACTCCACCTGCCTTGACGGAGACCACGTCCAGATAATGTTCAGCGCTGTTATTGTGGCAGGCTTTTTAATGCATCTTGAGACTGCGGCGCCGGAAGAGCGCCTTGCGATTTTCCAGACATTACCCTAAGTACATGAAAAAAATCTCAGCCCTGACCATTGCTAATGGATATTTGGCTGTTTTCAATTTTATCGGCAATGCTGCTAAACACAAGCCCTTTGTTGGTAGATTATATTGGACCACATAACAAGATAGTGCCACTCAAATAAGCAAACGCATGAGCGGCCACCTTGCACGATGATGTCGGTAGTCAAACCCTCTAAGTGAAGCTTTCAATGAAATTCCTTAGCGTGTTTCACAAACCCTTGTTTCAGTGTTAAATTACACTTGAAAATCTCACTCATATTCTTCGTCAATTTTACGAGAAAGGCGGAGTATTGTTTGAAGGGACTGACATAACTTATGCTAATTATGCGAAACATTGTTTGGAGTTAAAAGTGAATATTTCACTTACGCTCTTTGGGAGGAAGTAGGGTGCATCCATCTCCAGCAGCAGGCGGTCCAGGGGGATCCGGTGGCCAACTTCCGCAAGCGGCCCAGCGCTGTGGAACCCCACCAGCGGAGTGAGGCCCAAGAACAAGTTGGGAAAGGTGTCCATCCACTGCTGGGCCTCTGTCCATCCGCCGGTGAAGCAATGCCGGTGGATGGGCCAGTACGCCGGCATCTCCTGGTTGGTGCAACAGAATAACCAGAATATTTGTAGGCACATGCGTGGACCTTGATCACATGTGTGGTAACCACTCTTTGGAATGGCATGCACAGAAATGACAATTGATGAAAGTTCCCAGGTACGTTAAATGCTTCTTATGAATAGCCAGCAGGAGCAATATGACTGCGTTATCTAAACATGCCACTGCCCTTAACAAACATACGTCTTCGAAAAGTCATTTTTATTGCAGCCTTCCCAAAGAAACACCACAAAAGCAGCAGATAAATGCAAGAAGTTATTAAGACGTGTAGGTTATTTTATACAACTTGAAGGCCAAACAAAAAAGGCGATGAAATATTACTACTTGGATAGAGTTAGTTATACCACACCATCGTGCACACTGCGAGGTTTGATTAGCATTCACACAAAATAGCAGTAAAAAGTTTTGTAGCTAGAGAATTCTTGAGGGCACATGCGCACTTGTGCTCACACTTGAAAGAATTTATTCCGCCTGTCTAGATGTTCATCAGATATTTGTTGCCCTCGCTATGAAGCTATGAAAAAACAAACGCGTATACCCGTGACAAATGGTGCCTAAATATCGAAGTAATTTTCATTTGGCTAGTACATGTGCCTGGAGCGAAGAACGAAAAAGAGTAGATGGCAGTACCTTGTTTCCATGGCATTTGAGGGAATTATGAGCTATGGTGCTATAATGCTATTCCCCAGGGCTATGTGCTGTTACTGTAGAGTTTTTAAATCAACAGTTACGTGCGTATTTTGCTGTGCTTCTCTATTATACTGATCGAATCGACCACTGTAATATGTTCAATAACCACTGAACACACAAAAAATAAGGCTTAATTCCTTCGCTGTTATTGTATACGCTTAGAGGTGCTTTAAATACTCTTCATACACATGAGAGGAAGCGTTTACGATATTCAGCACACTGAAGCCAAAATCAGTGCAAATTTAACAACAGGATTTCATCTTGTCACTTAGCACCATGCGATACACTCCTTGCAGCTGGCGATAACTGATCGCGTACAGTGTGCGGTACCCCAATTTCCTTTAGGTGAAGCATATTTTGAATTATAACTGTCGCAAGAAAGCCGCCGTACCTCTTTGAGGATCCGCAGCATGTCTTGCGAGGCATCCCTCGAGTGGATGACCAGCGGGAGCTTCCCTTTGCTTGCCAACTGTAGCTGGCGGCGGAAGACGAGCTGCTGGAGTTTGTGGTCGCAATGGTTGCTGAAACGAAGAATGTTCAATGAAGTGATGCGGGATAGCAGTACATGGTACAGATTACGTAAGCTTTCGGTTAGTAAAAAGCCAATCCTAATGATAAGCCTAATCGCACTTTTATGGATACTCGTAATGGTGACAGTAGTCTCTTTACACGGCTTGAAATGATGATCTGCGTCTGATGATTTAACAGCGTGCTATCAAAATTTTGAAGGCTCTATATTCATTGGTTGACAGCGAGAGCTAGCTCCCTGTTGCACCTTGTCGAACAGAAGTAAAGCTTGAAAAAGCGGGCTAATCTGTGGTGTGTTAACTGCAGCTAACACGGGCGTGACATATGCGTAACGTGTGCAATTTCACAAGCAAGATGCAGCGAGTCAAGTAAACCAATCTGCGGGAAGGACAAAAGTTAAACGCTGCACAACATAGCCGATCACAACCGACGTATTGCACAAATGACAGGCACAATAAACAATGAAAACGAAAGAGACGTGTAGTACATAACTCTAAATAGACCACTTCATGTGAGTACTGCTCATTTTATGTACGCCCATTGACGTGCAAATAACGCTTATGCCTTATACAACAGCTTATGGGTCAGTTCGCTAAATGTAAGTTCCATAGCTCCTTCCAGAATGAACTTCAAGGAGAACACTTAGCGATTCAAGCTGCATTGCCAACATCTTATGAAACCTGGAAGAGACCACTCACTTGGAAGAGTAGTCCAGACCTATCTCTCCAAGCGCGACCACCTTCGGCTGCTCCAGCACATCGATCATCGCGTCCTCGATGTCTTCGTCATACAGTTTGGCCATGTGGGGGTGACACCCGAATGCACCCCAGATTCCCTTCTCCGCAAGAAGGCCTCGCCAGACGCTCCGCTGCGTGTACAGACGATGAAGTAGTGTCAAATTCATGTTGTCAGGAAGCGTGTGTGAAAGAAGCTGCAACCATCAGGATAACATCTGAACATAGTGCGCATATTTTCAGTACGGGAGCGCAGTATCTTTCGTAAGTTTTAAGACATGTTTCCGACAATGGGCGCATGTACAGAGGCCCACTTGAAGCAATACACTGTGTTGATTAAACTCCTGTTTATAAAAGTTCTCGTAAATTAGCCGCTTAGCCGCTCCGGACTGTTAGTCAACTTCGCAGTGTGCATCGTCGGATTCGAAGATATATTCCTTACGGAAGCTTACCAGACTTACTACCCCCATATATGTGCGTGCGTGTATGCTTACATCAATAAACATCACAGCTGAGAGTTAAATGACTCGAAGAAAACAAGGAATGAAAGGTGTCTGTGTTTAGTTTTCATTATCGCTAGACAATCACGGCGTGTTTATTTATTTATTTATTAGAATACCCTCAGGGCCCGTAGGGCATTACAGAGGGGGTGGGTACAACATATATAACACACAGAAAAAAGACAAAATAAAGAAACACGTATCAGATGCGCAATCAGGAAGGCAACATAAGTCAACTAAAATGTATAAGAATTCAAGCACATACAAGACAAAGATAGATTAATGGAAACTGCGTATAGTTACAAGCATTGCTGAGAAATTGCAGTCTTGAATAACAAAGGGTCTGTTATTGATACAACAGAAGAGGGAAGGTCGTTCCAAATCGGCGGCTGTTTTCGGTAAGAAGGCTGCTGAAAAGAATTTGGTGCGGCCAAAACGGAATGGCAACCTTATGCTGATGATCAATGCGCGATGAGTGTATGACGGTTGTGAAATGAGGTCTCGCTTCATTGATGCATTGTGAAAAATATCCTTTGAAAAAATGCAGGTCGCCCCAGTTTCCTCCGGACAGTTAAATTGGGTAGGTCAAGGGTTAGATTTCATTTCTGATATGCTAGCAGTACGGGAATAATTAGAACAAATGAACCGAACTGCGCGGTTCTGAACAGATTCTAACGCGTTAATTAAATTTTGCTGCACGGGATCCCATATAGCGGACGCGTACTCAAGCTTTGGGCGAATTAGTGATCGGTATAATAGAATTTTGAGGGACAGCGGAGCGCGAGAAAAGTTTGCGACCGTAAGTATCCTAGCGTTCGGTTAGCGTTATTACAGATGTAGGTAACATGCGTGTGCCAAGATAGATGTTGGTAATGTAAACGCCGAGGGTACTTATATGAAGAGACATGCTGGAGGGGAACGGCGTTAATTCTGTAGGTACAGGGGGGAGAAATAGATCGCTGGGTTATTGACATGCATTTAGATTTGTTAGAGTTGAGAGTCATAAGCCATTTATTGCACCAGGTTGAGACAGTGTCAAGGTCTGACTGTAGAAATTGGTTATCATATTCATTGTTTATTTGCGGTAAATTACACAATCATCTGCAAATAACCTTATAGCGGAGTTATGCTGTCTGGGAGATCATTAATATATATAAGAAGGAGGTAAAGGGCCTAATACGGAACCTTGGGGTACGCCGGATGTTACTTTAGAAAGAGGTGAGTTATAGCCATTAGTTGTTACAAACTGAGTGCGATTAGTCAGAAAGCATTCAATCAATTTAAGAATGTTCGGGTCAATGTTTAAGGCACTAATTTTCAGGAGGAGTAATTGGTGAGGTACTTTATCGAAAGCTTTTTGAAAGTCAAGGAAAATGCAATGCACAAGTGAGCCGCGATCTAAAGCCGATCCTATGTCATTAGTAAAATAAAGAAGTTGGGTTTCACATGAGTAACTTTTTCGGAATCCGTGCTGGTAGGGAGTAAAAAAAGTGTTATTTAAAGCTCTGTCATTCCGACGGTAAATATTCAAACAACTCTGCTTATATGTGTTGTCTGGAGAAGATTGTGGACAAGCAATTCATGCGGAAAATGTGCGCGCACGGTACAGCGACCGCCAAGCAGCGCTGGCGAGACGGCTATTGGCGTCGCGCTGCACGCAACTAACCAGAGGATAATAATGTCCACGCTATTGCTGACTATTTCTATGAAATTATCAGATGTTGTTTAGTATCAGATCACTGTAGAGAAGCGCACATGTGTATCTCGGAAATCCCACAGTGTCATTGCTGTCGCTGTCTCAGTCGCTGCGCATATGCCAGACCATGTATTGTTTCGAAATACTACTGGATATATATGTGGGATTTAACGACCGTAAACCACCATATGATAATGAGAACACCGCATTGGAGGGCTCCGTAAATTTTGACATCCTGGTGTTCCTAACGTGCACGCAAATCTGAACACACGGGTCAACAGCGTCTTTGCCTTCGAAATGCTCCTAGGCATTGCGCGCTATGAAACGATCACTGCGCGCTATGAAACGATCGTGGGAGAGTTTCAGCTGAATATTTTTTTTTCATCGACATTTCACCGTTTCACCGAACTCCCTTGATTGAATCAAAATACAAAACTGGATATAGAAGTGGCCGCGTCCTTCCTGTACCCAATGCTCAGTGTTGCTCGGTCGACGATAATCGGCTATATTTGACAATTTTTTCACTTCCAATCTGCAAGTATCGCGAAAATTGCCGTTTATGCGCAGTCTGGCGCAATTGTTGCCGCACTACCACCCCTGCATGCGCATAGAAGGCGACTGTGTTAACGTTACGAAGTGCTGCTAAATATATCTACTAAAATGAGGCGTTTTAGAGGGGCACTCTTTTATAAAACAGGAGAGCGGTCACGACACGTCAAGTAGTAATGGCGGAACCAGCCTGAGTACCCAGCCAACTAAACGTCGTCTTCTTCACCGACTGAGTCATACCCCATGCCTTTCTGAGTAGCACTCATCTTCTTCACTACACTACAAATACACTTAAAACACAAATTAACCATTCGCATATCGTTTACATGAACACTTGTTTACAGGCGAGTAAGAATGCCACAGCAACATGGAATATTGTCAACAGCAGAAGCGGTAAGCTGATATGAAGGAGTGGTGCTCGCTAGGATGGTCGCCCTGGACGGTGTTAAATAAATCAACCTTCAGTGCATGGGGCTTGGTTACAGATTGTCGTTAACCCTACGATACGGCTGTGGAATTGAAGTACATATATAATGCTTATGAAATTGGATAGATAGCGAGCACTGCAGCGCCAATGCACGTCTCACGAACACAAGGGTCTATTTGAGAAATAGTTCCAAGCCCTAGCGCGGGTCTGTAATAGCACCCTTGATAACTTAGTTGTAAACTCTCAATCACCTGTGGCACATGACCACATACCTGTAGCGCATACTCGCCCGCGAGTACCTGACACTTGTCTCGTGGAAGGGTTTGACAACGTATGCGAATGGATTGTATGCGAATGCGAATGGACAACGTATGCGAACGGATTTATGTCATGATCGGCCAATCATTATCTATCTATCTATCTATCTATATATCTATCTATCTATCTATCTACTATCTATCTATCTATATATCTATCTATCTATCTATCTATCTATCTATCTATCTATCTATCTATCTATCTATCTATCTATATCTATCTATCTATCTATCTATCTATCTATCTATCTATCTATATATCTATCTATCTATCCTACCGCCTAAGCTAGCGGGGCAGACAACTCTATCTATCCTATCTATCTAGCTATATCTATCTATCTATCTATCCTATCTATCTAGCTATATCTATCTATCTATATCTATCTATCTATCTATCTATCTATATCTATCTATCTCTATCTATCCTATCTATCTATCTCTACCTATCTATCTGTCAGTCTGTCTCTGTCTATGAGAGACAGACAGATAGATAGATGATAGACAGAAATGTGAAGCTCACTCAGACTCACTCCAGAAATATGTTATACTCTGATAACTCATTAACTTTTTTCTCTGCTGTACTCAAGCTTGGCAACATATTACTCGGCCGCACCAAATAATTTTCTGAGGGAGCCCAGGTTATAGCCGACGCATGAATTCAGAAGCATAGAATTAGCTTGAATAACAACTCTGTTTGTTATTCAAGATTATCCCAGATTATCGGTGGTCTCCAAATTGCCTTTGTATGTTGTTTCTTTAAGTACAGCACAGTCCCTCTGGTACAAGTTATCCATGGTCTGACTATAGTAAAAACATTTTTACTAATTAGTGACTCACACCAGATAGTTTTATCAAGAACGTCCGACAAGAGAGATTGCAAGTGTATTGCATGGTAATAAGTCTTAATCAGTCTCTCCTTAACTATGTGATATTGCGATGGCACATGGGGATAAAAATGCAAGGAAAGGTAGGGAGATTAACCAGACGCACATCCGGTTTGCTACCTTGCACTGGGGAAGGGATAAAGGGGAGAAAAAGAGGTTGCAAGACTTCGATGGCACATGATTGCTTGTGTATATAGGCATGTGTAAATAGATTTCACTATACACGTAAGCTGATATCAGGTGGACGGTAATGCTGAGATAAGCAGACACTTCTGAGTTCCTAGTAGTAATCAGGCTTTCCTATTTTATCACAAAAAGCCACATACCTTCTTGAAAGTATCCGGATCGCAGAAAACGGCCACGCACCCTCGTAGTTGAGGGGGAACGTGGCCTGGTGCTTCCTCCGGAACTCGGGAAAACGTGCCGTGGTGCCTGGCTTTCGGAACAGGAAGTCCAGGTGACAGTGGGTGTCAATGAGGCCCACCGATGAGGACACCGAGTAAGGCCACTGCTTGGCAACCGTGGTCCATGGCAGAGAGGTTGGGTTCCTGTGTACGATCGAATGATACGATGCAATTTTCGTCGTGTTGGGTATATATAGTTCTTAGTACCGTATAGACTGCCTCTGAGAAAAAAGCCAGACTTAGTTCTGTACGTGTTCTCGCTTTTCTAAGTGATTATCGTAACTGCGCTGA